CCCCCAATTCTCACATGAACTTAATGCAGTTCCAAATTTAAAATCCTTGCAACAAAAAATTTGCAAGTGATTAGTTGGAGAACCATTGTAGACTCTTTCTATAACAAAATAAAAATTATTCTTATAAAAATTTGCAATATCTAAATCACTTCATTTAAAAGTTTGAAATATTGAAGACGGTCATCTTTAAAATCAATTCAAATTGAATTGCAATTATTTGTATGTCCAACTATCCAAATAATATCATTACACTTGATTTATTTAAATTTTATCTTCGATAAAATTGTCTTATTTAAGGTTTGGTTGGGATTGGTCATTATTTTGGAATTTTGTTTATAACTTAACAATGTGCCATTTTTTTTATTTATTTATTTTTGTTGACGTAGGAACCCACAGCCACTACTCGTCAGCGGAGCCCCCACCATCCCGAAGGGTCGGAGGCCGGACTACTGTAAGTGCGCACTAGGTAAACTCCGATCCATGTGTAGTAGTCCGCAAACCACACAGGAGAGGTAAACCGCACTAGGCAAGCCCGGTGCAACGGGCTTGACCAAGGAAGTGTTAGCAGAGGATTCGAACTCGTGACCTTTGGTCTCCACGTTCACCTACTCCACCAACTCGACCACCTCCGAAGGGTTAACAATGTGCCATGTTAATCTATTACATTGAACCCCTAAGTTGAATCCAGCAGACCAATAAGTGTTCTTATTTTAATTCTAAATGCGTCGATCCAACTTGGCAACTTGTTTTGCACAATATGAGTTTGGTAGCCACCCGGCTATAAAAGTCCACTCATTTTATCCTTTTCTCAGATAAATTCCAATATATTAATTACGTTTATTTGACCTCAATGATTAAATGACTATAAGGCCATGTTTGAACCATATTATTTTTTCTATTCTCATTCTTTTACTCATTTTTAATCACGTATGTTTCAATAAAATAATATTTTCCATCACATCAATAATTTTTCCTTCTTTTTCAACCACATATTCTTCATCACATCAACAATAAAAATGCATTCTTTTTTCCAAAAATGTGCATCAAACGAGGGCTAAATATCACATTTTTGTCCCTTCCCTTCAAATGAGACTCGAATCTAGATCACCGATTTGGTAACTAAAAATGAAAGTAGCTCGAGTAGAAAGATGAGATAAGACGTTATGTAAGTTATGGTTGAAATTCCACTAATGATGATACCGTTGAATCGGAAGAAGCAAATGAGATTTTTGATGCATTAGACTGTATTAAGCTCTTATTCTATTCTCATTATTTTCAAAATACATTTTTTTCTTTTTTCTTTTCAATCGCACATTGTTCAATAAAATAATATTACACGCAAACTCAAAATCTTTCCTTATTTTTTAACCACACATTTTCTATCAATCTACTATTCCAAAATGCATTCTTACCATAAAATAGGGCTCAAACAAGCTCTAAATACAATTAAAGAAGAAAGAAACTTACCCTTGTTTGACAACCATTAAAACAACTATTTTTTCTCAATCTCATTTTAAACCATGCACCTCACAATAAAATATTTTGTGTAAATTCAAAACTTTCTTTATTTTTAACTATACATTATTTAAAAAATTACTATTTTAAAACTCATTTTAATGGTCGTTAAACGGGTGCTTTTGTCTGTTACATGATTTATAATTTTTTCTATAACATTTTTTTTAAAATAATGTTTTATAATATCAAAGTTAACACTTGGCATATGGGATGTAAACCTAGGTACAAAACCATTGGCCCTTGACCATTATTTTAAGAAGCCTCGACGTGTTTATTGATTCTATGAGTTCAACGTGATCAAAATGTCAATTTTTTAATGGGAATTTTGTGCATTTCATCCCTAACCTTTGGAGACTCTTTCTAATCCATCCCCAACTTAAATGATCTTTGCGATTGAGATGTTAAATCACCACGTACATTATCCTAACATGACATAATTTCCCAAGAGCAAATTTGACGCCGGGCAGAATAGCGATTATTCTGTAGGTTGAAATTCAATAGATAATTAACAGAGAAGAACGCAAGAGAAAACGCCAAAAAAATCTTTATTATTCATCCAACATCCGAAAATAACTCACAAGCCGGGTTATATAGCTGAAAAACCATAATTATAAGAATTTTATCAAAAATAGCAAAATTTCAATATTCATACCAAAAGAAAGTACGTAATAAAAGAAACAATGTCTTAAAAATCTGGCTTAATTCGAGTTCATAATTTATGTTTAAAAGGCAAACGAAATATTACCAAAAAGGGAAAAAAAAAAACTAAAATTGGGGATTCGAAAGGGAAAATAGCGGATTTTGCCTTAGAAATCGATGCGTACCAAGCAAAGTTGGGTGACCATGACGTGCGCGCCAAAAAGAGTTGTTTGAATTGGGGTCATGAGGGCTATTCTGATAACCATAACCAAAGTTATGGCCAAAATATTAAAACGTGTCCAAAACGGCCCCAATTAGGAAAGATCGTCGATTACTTGTCATTTTTATGCTGAACCACCAACTCATGGTATCTCAACGTCATCAGCGAGTTATCGAACAACTCGACTTTGTCTGACTCGGATGCTCCTGCATCAAAATTAGTTGTATCCTCTCTTATATAATTTCCACACAAAATTGGAGCAATGTATTTGTATCGCTAACCTAACTCATCCCTAATATTTAAATAAATTAGCATAAATGATTCCAACCTTTTAAACTGATCATATTTTAATACATAGTCGTTTATACACAATAATTTTGATTTTCTGTATACTAATATTTCCTATATCTCCAGAAAGGTGAAACTTGAGACTGTAAAACTAACTCGTTGGAGACTAAATTGATACAAAAAAAATTAAATTTAAAAATCGTAAATCGCACAATATACCATACAACAAATCGACAACTAGCAATTTTAATTCAAAAGCACAAGCCATAACATCTCATTCGAAGAAGACAGAGTGGTACAGAAGGATTTTGAGATTTCGTAGAATATAATCTGTCATTGGGAGAAATTTTCCCATCTGGTGACATGGGGTGTGACTGTTTTGCCCTTGGAAATTTATGCCATGTGCAATCCACATTGTGGTCTAGCACCTCAGTTGACGGAAATTGTTAAAAAGGACTAATTGTGCATAGGGCAGCCACGAGCCGAAATTCAAACATAAATGGTTCGGGTTTTTTTTTTTGGTCCGAGCCGAGCAAAAGCTATACAAAAAAATTGAGGTTCGACCCGAGCTTTCGGCTAGTGCCTTAGCGAGACGGCTCGTTATTATTATTATTATTATTATTATTATTATTATTATTACTGCAAGCCGCAGTGTTAACAGGCAGCTATTTTTATTTTACTTTTTAAATTTATTTATTTTATTTGAAATTCGGCTTGTCAGGGCTAAAAATGGCCTGTGACACGAGGCTTGTCCGTGTGGTTCACTCTGCCCGAGACCCGAGCTAGCGAGCCGCTTTGACATGCCTAATTGTGCAAAGGTCACTAAAGGTTGGGGATGGTTTGGTAAGAGTCTCCGAAGGTTGGGGATGAAAATTTCCCATTTCTAATCTATGGATAATTAATGAGGATTTTTTTCGTTTAAATTATTAATATGGAATTTTATTATATTTCGCTTTGGAGAAATGCACTATAGTCTTGGTTTACTTTGACCATCGCGGGGATAATTATTCTAAGAAGATTTATATTGTCATTGACTCATTGCTATCTCCATTAATGATATTTAGACCCTCAAAGGAAGACGTTAGAGTGATCTGATGAACTCCGTGCCCCCTCTAATGGGGCGAACATATCTTTATTGATTCTTGTAATTTCTACTACTTATTGCACGTTTCAATGCAATTGAGAGACGAGTTATGATGAGTTAAATTTCTTAACAATCTTTTTTATATGATCTCTATATGCTCAACTTGATCAAAAATCAATCTTCTCATCAATATGCCAACTACCAAGACAAATCTCCAACCTTTCTTTCTTAAAATAAGACCCCAGCTTCCATAATGAACTCATATTTGAATGGATTATGAATCTGCCAAGTTTATCCTTCCATTTTTGAAAGATTGTAGTATTTGGTCTCCAATCTGTTTGGCAATTAGCAAATTGTATAGTCACACAATTAATACAAAATCACAATAGCGTCGATATCTCGAGTAACTTATCACATAATTCTCATAAAAGCATGTCTAATTTCAAATTTGGACCTGAATTCAAGTTAGAAAATAAAATTTAATTTCACAAAATCAGGACATAGAAGAGTCGCGTGATAATTTTATGAAGATTTGGGCGATTTTGTATCATTTTAAATTGTTGTACTGAAGCCCTATTATGCAAATTTTCGTGTAATTTTATCGTTATCAGTCACATCAAATAATTCAAAGTCAACTTTCTCTTGCCGGAGCAAATATTATTATATACAGCAAATTGTCCATAGAAAAAAATGCCATTGGAAATGTGAACGCCCCATTTTGTTTGTTCAGCCCAACTATTTAGAAGGGACGTCGCCATATTCTCAACTTGACGATTATTCCCTCTACGACAAGAGTAATTCTCAAAAAGCTTCGGATCGGATATCAATTGTTTCTATTACATTGGATATAACTATGTTGCACAAACACGATTATGTCAACACTTAATTATTCATCGTCAATACGGACTTGAATGTTCCACAAAACAAGATACATGACATACCAAACTCATGTGATGAAGTATATGTGAATGCATGTATCATTATAGGGGAATTATTGTGGAGGCGACTTTTATAGGGGAATTATTGAGATGAAGTATGTGTGAATGCAGGCATCATTATGGGGGAATTATTGTGGACGCGACTTTTATTGTTCAAAATAAAAGATTTTTAACGTGGACGAGCAAGATACGGAAGTAATTATAATCAATTTCCATAGAATTTAATAGTTAATTGAGTTCACAGATTGATATATACTGATCAACATGCTTTGCTTTGTACTTGGGCATTATTAAAACCAAAAGTCTTCTTTCCAAAATGAGAAGCCAAACTCTTCGATCTTTTTACCTTCTCTTTTTACTTGTATTTTTCTTCTCCTTCAATTCTGCAACTTCAAAATCTCATCTTCAGTTGAGAAGGGGTGATTCTTTATCTGTTGAGGACGATCAAGATTTCCTCACCTCCCCAGATAACTCATTTACTTGTGGTTTTCTTAACTTAGAAAATTCTAATGCCTACTGGTTTGCCATTTGGTTCACAAATTCTAAAGAAAAAACCGTCGTCTGGACCGCAAATCGGGACAGGCCGGTTAACGGCCACGGTTCGGAAGTACACCTCAGGGGAGATGGAACCATGCTCTTAACAGACGTTGGTGACACTGTTGTATGGCAGACAAATACCACCACAACTGATGTTGCAATAGCTAAGGTTCTGAATTCAGGCAACCTCGTATTGGAGAATCCACAAGGTGATATTCTCTGGCAAAGTTTTGATTTTCCTACAGATACTCTTTTACCTTTACAAACACTTACTAAGAATAAAAGATTGACATCTGCATTAAGAAAAAGGAGTTATGAATCAGGTTACTTTAATTTGTATTTTGGAAGTGATAATGTTTTGAGATTGATATCGGATACGCCCGATACATCAAGCAATTATTGGCCTAATCCTGATTTTGATGTGTATAGAAATGGAAGAACAAATTATAATAGTAGCAGAGTGGCATTTTTGGATGATATGGGCAGGTTTCTGTCAAGTGATCAATTGCAAATTAATGCTTCTGATATGGGATATGGGATTAAAAGGAGGATGACAATAGATTATGATGGGAATCTTAGGATTTATAGCTTGATGAACTCGACGGGATCGTGGGAAATAACATGGCAAGCTCTTGGACAACCTTGTAGTGTACGCGGTGTGTGTGGAAGAAACGCGGTGTGTGTTTATGCACCGGATCCTCAGTGTGCGTGTCCTCCTGGGTTCGAGGTGAATGATCCAAGTGACTGGAATGCTGGTTGCAAGGCAACGTTCAACGAGACTCTCTTACATTCTCGACAAGTGAAATTCGTGGAGATACCTCATGTGGATTTCTATGGTTTTGATCTCAATACGACTTCTCCATTGACATTGGAAGCTTGCAGGGATATGTGCGCGAGTGATTTTCGTTGCCTTGCGTTTAGCTACCGGATTTTGGGACAAGGATTCTGTCTTGTGAAAAGTGCACTCCTTAATGGCTATGAAACTCCAGATTTCCCTGCAAGTATATACATTAAAGTTCCAAGCAGTGTGCAACCACCAAATCCTTCAATTCTATATGAATCCAGAACAATGTGTGGATCTACAGAAGCAGAACACATCGTAGGATCTCCTTCTATGTATGACTTCGTCCCGAAAAGAGTGAAATGGATTTACATCTACTCATTTTGTGCAGCATTGGGAGCAATTGAAATAACGCTCATTGTATTAGGCTGGTGGTTTTTGTTTAGAAAACACGGTATCCCAGCTTCAGTCGAGGCTGGATATCGCATGATATCTAGCAATTTCAAGAGGTATACTTATGCTGAACTGAAGAAAGCAACCAACAATTTTAAGAGTGAGCTAGGAAGAGGAGGTTCGGGTATAGTTTATATGGGTGTATTATCAGATGGTAGGGAAGTAGCAGTCAAGAAGCTGGGGGATGTGTTTCAAGCCCAAGATGAGTATTCAGCAGAAATCAGCACCATAGGAAAGATCAATCACATGAATCTAGTGAGAATTTGGGGGTTTTGCTCAGAAAGAAAGCATCGACTCTTAGTCTATGAGTACATCGATAACTTGTCACTCGACAAGCATCTTTTCGACTCTAATATCCTCACATGGAAACAAAGGTTTGCGGTGGCAATGGGGACAGCCAAAGGCTTAGCCTACCTTCACCACGAGTGTCTTGAATGGGTAATCCATTGTGATGTGAAACCCGAAAATATACTTCTAGATGGAGAATTTCAACCCAAGATTGCAGATTTCGGGTTAGCAAAACTGTCTCAGAGAGGCGGCCCTGGTTCCGAATTCACCAGAATTCGAGGGACAAAAGGCTACATGGCTCCAGAATGGGCTCTAAACCATCCGATTACAGCTAAAGTCGACGTGTATGGATATGGTGTCGTAATCTTGGAGATGGTAAGGGGAATTAGACTTTCGAATTGGGAGGTCGATGATGAATATGAGAACGAAGCAGCACTCACGAGTTTCGTTAGGACAGTGAAGAAAAAAATTGAGCGTGGAAACTCCTTTTGGGTGGAGAGTTTTGTTGATCCGAGATTGAAAGGGAATTTTAGCAGAAAACAGGCAGAAACATTGGTTCAATTAGGCCTTTCATGTGTAGAAGAAGACAGAAACAAGCGCCCAACAATGGCTTCTGTGGTACAAACTCTACTCGAATGTGAAGATGATACAGAAGTCCAGATTTCAGACAACTTGTAATTGCATCATTTGAGCTCTAAATTAATTATCTTTTTTTTTTTTTTGTTCTTTTCATTGAAATTGTAGTTAGAACTTTCTCGTAATGTGAACTTTCTCGTCCTGTTTAAAAATATCTTTAATTTTTGTGGAGCGTCGAAATCAAGAAGATCTGAAAAAGTTAGATACTTGTTACAATTTAGTTTAGGGTAGTTTATCATACTCAGGAATGACATGCCATTTTATGATACTTGTTACAGTTTAGTTTATCGTACTCAAGAATGACATGCCATTTTATGACAGAGCAGAGGGAGCCGAGTGACGTTACAATAACGACAAACGGCAAAGGTAGCAAAGAGGTGATGAACCTATCACTTCATGTCAACAGTATTTTGTTATTCGATGCATTAAATCAGATTTTACCTTGCAAACACACAATTTGTTGGGCAATTCTTGCTGCAATTTCATTTTGTATAACAGGGAATAGTTAATGCTAATTTCGATATTTTTCTTAGTTTACAAGTTAAATTTTCAAGGTCCTTCGGGCTTCGGTAAAATTTTTGCTAATATTTGGACGTGGTGTTTTCAAAAAAATCCCAATACATACCCTATTAAACTTTGCTAAGATTATATCAAATTTAAAATTCATCAAATTTCAACTTAATCATATATTTAATGAGATTTACAACTTTTATCAATTAATCAACCATATATCTCCTTATAAAAATTGCTAAAACAAAAAAAGAAAAAAATTAATTTATAGTCTTGGAAGTGATATGAATTGATTTTATTAAAGTGATTTTAAAAAACTTGAAAAATATTATTATATTTAATAAATGAAAAAGAAAAAAGAAAAACAAATACACCTCATGGTTAATGCTATGACCTACAAGAGTAACGTTATTTATCATCATGATGATAAAATATTGGTGATATGACAACTCATTATTTCTCACATTTCTTTTTCTCTCCTCACTTCTCTCATAAAAATTAAATTGTCTAATCTCATTATTCCATATAAACTGTTACATCACAGATATTTTATGATCATAATGATAAATAACATTATTCGACCTACAAAGGTTACGAGAGAATATCAATAAGAACATTTTCAATGAACTTTGAATTGCACAAGTATGTCATGTCATCCTAAAATGTTTAAACGGCAGAGGAAAAAGGTGAAGATGTGGAAAATGAACTACATATCTTCCATTTAATTTTGATAAATTTGTCTTCATTGAAGATTGTTAATATTTGACCTTGTCACATGGTATTTTATGACAAAGCTGAGCTGACGTGGTAATAGAGGCAAAAATAGCAGAGTGGCGATGAACCCTTAATATCACATGATTTAATTTTAAAACATTAGTGGTGACAGATAGTATTATTCTTTTATTCAATGCATTACATCAGATTTTGCCTTTTACACACTGTATTGTCATTCGCCATGCAGGATTATCAACATCATCGTCTCATAAAAAATGACATGTAAATAGTACAGTGCTTTCTTTATAATTCAAAGAATAAAATCAACAGAGGCATAATTTGAATAGGAAACAAAAAGAGGCAACAAAAATTTATTAGGATACAAATACAATGATCGATGATAAAAATGACCCTAGAACAACAAAAATAATGAAAACATATTCTGAAAAAGTATGTCATGTCATCCTAAAATGTTTAAACGGCAGAGGAAAAAGGTGAAGATGTGGAAAATGAACTACATATCTTCCATTTAATTTTGATAAATTTGTCTTCATTGAAGATTGTTAATATTTGACCTTGTCACATGGTATTTTATGACAAAGCTGAGCTGACGTGGTAATAAAGGCAAAAGTAGCCGAGTGGCGATGAACCCTTAATATCACATAATTTAATCTTATAACATTAGTGGTGACAGATAGTATTATTCTTTTATTTGATGTATTACATCAGATTTTGCCTTTTACACACTGTATTGTCATTCGCCATGCACGATTATCAACATCATCGTCTCATAAAAAATGACATGTAAATAGTACAGTGCTTTCTTTATAATTCAAAGAATAAAATCAGCAGAGGCATAATTTGAATAGGAAACAAAAAGAGGCAACAAAAATTTATTAGGATACAAATACAATGATCGATGATAAAAATGACCCTAGAACAATAAAAATAATGAAAACATATTCTGAATTAATAAAACTGACTCAAGACACTGCTATCAAGTAGCCTATACATTGAAAAATTGTTATTTGTAGCAACCATAAAATTTTCCATTGCGGAAAAATTTTCAAGTACACGAGGAAACTTACATACTAATTCTAATTGCCTTGTATTTTAACCAAAACTGATCTTTACTGCGTCCTATCATAGTGACACATGAGTTGCAAACTTCGTGGAAGAAGATCCCTGGCTAGACGCAAAGATTAAGAACTAAAAGGCCCTTGTGACAGTAGTTTCTTCAGGGTTTCATACGTCATGAAGACAATCCCCACACTCGGAACAACCTTGTAGTATTCAGGCATAATCCCTCTGTATAGACCACGCAAGCCTTCAGTACGGATTATGTGCCTAAATGCCCCTAACAACCCAGTATTATACACTCGTGCCCTACCAGCAGCCCCTTCCAATTGCATTCTTCGCCTCACAAGATCCAAAGGGAATGTCGCTGAAATGCATTAAGCATAAACAAACAAAAATGAGACATCATAAATGGAATGAAAGAAGTGAGGCAGAAGTTCTTCCCATAATGGAATGCAAGAGCAAAAGCAGAAATCCCAGTATAGCAAGAGAAGGGTCTGATCATACAAGTGGCGAAGAGATTGGCTTCATGTCTATTCTATTCACAAGGATGCGATGCTGCTACTCTTCAAATACAGAATAACATTTTTGTCATATAACACTTCCTAGTGGGACGACTAATTATATTGGATCATAAATTACAGCCACATTTTATTAACAAGTTCCTTTTTGCATGTAACAATCTGACCAAAGTTATACATCCAAATTGGGTTCAAAATTCACCCAGCATCCAAGCATTCTTGAGACTCCCTAATTAATTTCAGGCACCAAGATCAGAATCGTAAAAATCAGGAAACAGTACCAGTGTGAACATGTAATTACAAGAATAAGGACATCTTTCTATATAATATATATTATAAAATAGGAAAAATTGCAAATACAGTCCCCAACCTTTCAATGTAGTTGTACGAGTGGTCTTTATGGACGGTTTCCATTCAATTTTAGTTAAAAGGACAATTCTACCCTAATTTTCATTAAAAGATAAAATGAAACAATATATATATATACATTCCTCTCAAATAAAAAACAAAAAACACACAACTATAATTCAAATATAACAGGAAGAGGGACTGGGTCTAAAACCGGGGGAAGTGCCTGGAATGCCAAAGCTAGGAGAGGCCAGGTTTTGGAGGTACGGTTGGGGGATGGGAAACTGGGATAGCAAGAAGCCAAAATTAGGGGGGAGACGAGGACAGCAATGGTGAAACACTGAACTGGGTGGTAGGGCTCATTTATTGCAGTGGGGAGGGTGAATGGTTATCAAAGTCACGATCCGAAACGTAGGATCGCAAGATCCTATGATCCTAAAAAGGCAAAATGATCCAGATCGTACATAGAAAAGCAATTCACTAGGATTGCTACAATTTAGTGCAATATCTGAAAATGAACGATTTGCTATTTGTTTCTACGCTCTCTCTTATGATAGAAAATGAGGATGCAGTTTGTTCACAACCAAGCAAGTGGTTGGATGTCCTTGATAGATCTGCACGAAGAGAATCTCGGAAAGACCTTTTTCAGCATCATGTTTGAAATGTAATTTTGACAAAAATCCTTGTAGACCTTTTCATTTTTTATTGTGTGTTTTTAGCTAGTTATTGAATATAGACTTACAAATGTTAATTTGTTCTTAGAACTTTTATGTTTATCATTTTTTTTAAATATTCAAATCGTTATTTAGTTCTTGTTTGATTCCCATTTTTTTCAAAATACATTTCTCTCTTTTCTTTTCAACTACAGATTCTTCAATAAAATAATATTACACATTTACACGCATGACGCAACCCAAAGACTTTTCCTTCATTTTTTAACCACACATTCTCCATCAATCTACTATTACAAAATGCATTCTATACCAAAAATGGGGTTCAAACAAGCCCTTAATAGGATCTTACATTCTTTGATCCGATCCGCAAGAACCCTATCCGATCCAATTTATGTTCCTAAACTGGTTGGGGGTTCCTTTATTTTCCTTTTACTTTCATCTTTTATTTCTTTCTATTTCCTCTTTTATTTTAAAATTTGAGGATCAAAGTTGCTACAAGCACTGAAGATTGTGTACCAACTCTGCAATTTTTAGATTTACAGCACACTCACCTGTTGATGACGCAATGCCCGAAAGACTTCCACAAGCAAGGCTGACTGCGACCACGGAATCATTGGACCTGATAGAGATCAAATTGTCATTCTCACGAATAACAAGGACTAGGACATAAACTGGAATATTAAATTAATTATACATCAGGCAACTACTTTCTCACCTTTGAGAATGCCAATAGGATCTCAGACTCTCATAAACAGAAAAGCTTATTGCTATGCTGGGTCCAACACCCTGCAACCACCAAAATTGAAATGAAATGGAAATATCAAACAGTAAAAGAAAACTAGAAATACAAAGAAGCAAAGCAAGAGATGAAGATATATACCAATAATGTTGCACCGAGTCCTTTGTACAAGCCAAGGAAACCTTCATCTCTGCATATGGTATGAAGCGCATGCCAAATGCCACGGTAGTATATTGCATTCCTCTAAAAAGTTTGCAAACTAAATGAATTCAGCCTTACCATTAAAATAAAAATTAAAAAAATAAATAACAATGACATGGATAACTGATGGATATGGAACCAATGAAGATATGGAGTAGCTAGCAACCTTTTTTCGTTTGAACTTTTATGTGCGTGTTTTCTTTGCTCATTGTCCTCCCATCTCTATCAAGTTTTCTTCTTTTAACTTATTTTTTTTAGGTAGGGCGGGGTTTTTGAGTCTTCGTGTGTGTCTACACATCCGTTGGGTGTAGCAGACGGGGTGGCAGCATGGGGAAGGGAGTGGATTGATTGTATTAATGCGAACGTGCAAAAAGAAGTCAACACAGACCTGACCTTGTAAATCCATTAACAGGGACTGAAAAAAAAATCCCACCTCTAAATTAAAAAATACAATGACAACGATAAAGCTCGAAAATAAAATGTTACAACATATACATGGTATGATTACTGCACCTGTGCAGCAAGCCGTGTCCTGACAAGATCCAGTGGATATGTGGCAGAAGCAGCTGTCATTCCTGCCAAACCACCACCAACAAAATGCACAAAAACATTTGCACTTGGATTTTCCCCATGACCATCAAGGCCTGGAATAGATTTTAAAATCTGCAAACAATTTTAGAATCAGTATTAAGGCAATATGCAACCTGCAAAGTAGCATAATATACATGTTTTAATGGCATTAAAACTGTAATCCTAATATTACAACTCACATTCTTGTAGCGTTCATAAGCATAGAAGCTGATCGAAGAATACGGAAGCCTGTGAGCAATCGTAACCAAATTCCCTTTCCAGAAAGCTCTAAAACCTTCCTCATTGACAATACGTAGGGCTTCACACCATATGCTAGGTTTACTCAATACTGAAACATCGGAATGCATACCTTGTACCTAAAAGCAGAGCCTCGAGGTATTTTCAAATTAATAAAACCAAAAATTATATAATAGAGAGATAAAAGACCAACTGGCTAATATTGAGTAATTGATGCTACAATGTGATAAAGGGTAGCAAGTACAGAGAACCTGTTACTGAGGTGGCAAATGTCTAAAATTCAAATCTTAACATCGTGATGAAAATTATCAGGTGTTATAATCCCCAACATGAAAACCAGTTTTGACACCAAAATCTGTATTCAAATTTTGTTGTACATAATAATACTACCAAAAACTCAAAACATTTTAAGGTCCAAAACACTACTCTGTCAAAATATGTTTGTACAGATACACATCAATTCCTTCAAACCTCATTCTTGTAATTAGAATACTCAACCACAAAACCCCCAAGTGAAATAGTAAACAATCACCTTCTAAAGACTTCAAATCATAACCTTAAAAATGCCATCCTGATCAAATATCCCTATAATTAGCACCTTAAGGAGATAAGGAAAGTGAAAGAAAAACCACAATACCTGAAAGAGAATGGTAAGGCGAGCTAGAGGAGCGGTGCAGGTCTTACTGAAAGCTCCTGCGACGCCACCGGCGAGGAGTTGAGGAACAGTTCCAATCTGCGACACAGGCTGCTGCTGCTGTCGTTGCGGCCCAGAATGTTGATGGTGTATAAACTTCCTGGTAGATGTACCACCGTCCACAACCCCTCCATGTGCCGACGTCCCAACTCTAGCTTCCATTTATCGAATTTACTCAATAAAAAATATCAACCGTTGAAAGCAAATTATTGATTCAAGGAGCGTGTGAATGGAAATAAAGTAAAGTTTTCATCTTTCCTTTTTGATTTCTTTGTGGAGTTGTTGAGAAAATAAACCTAGAGAAACCCTAAGAAGGGGAAGGTGGAAGACTGGAATGATTTGAATTTTCCTAATATTAATTTTGAATATTTCTCCTGTTTTTTGCGTACGTTGGAACGAAAGTGAAATGGCGGGTGTGATTCACGATGATACTACCAAAATAGGGATACAATTCTGCTCAGGTTTTGTGATACACGTACACTCCAACTAAAAAAAAAGAAATTATAAAAAATCAGGGGTTTAAATATTGTTTTTTAAAATTCAAGTCTAATGTTTATTTATTCAAAAATCAGGTAAAATATAAAATCCCTAATTCATAACCCTAATTCACTAATTCTCCACTCTATTTCTCGCCATTCGTCTCTCTCGCGGCGCTCTCTCTCTCTATCACTCCCTGAAGCGACGATGTAGTGGCTGGCCGGCTGGACGAAGGTGTTACATCGGCCAGCGACGCTTCACTCATCAGTCTTTCTCTCTATCAGTCTCTCTCTGGCAATCGCTCTAGCACTCATCACTCATTAGTCTCTCATCACACATACCCAATAACCGGCAATCGCTCTAGCACTCATCAGTCGCAACGGCAATCGCTCCGGCTTTTTGGTTTTTTTTTTTTTTATGGTTGTGAGTTTGAGATTGGAGATGGTGTTGGTGGTGTGGCGGTTGGGTGTGTGTGCGCGCTGTGGGTGTGTGTGTGTGTGCAATGGAGTTGTGGTGGTGGTGTATAAGGTGCTGCGGTGGTGAGATGCCGGTGATGGTAGTGAGAAAATATCAAATCAGGAGTTTTCATGTCGTCGGCAGTGGTTATTAGGTGCTGTGGTGGTGAGATGCCGGTAATGGTAGTGAATCCGCTTGGGATGTGGTAGTGGCGGTCGATTGTCACAGTGGCAGGGGAGGTTGACTGTGGTGATGGTGACTGTGACCCTGTATGTGACCCAATTTTTGGTGTATGTGACCTAAAAAAAATTCTGTGACCAACCACCTGATAATCTGTGACCTAAAAAAAATCTGTGATCAACCATCCGATAATCTGTGACCTTAAAAAAAATTCGTGACCAACCATCCGGTAATATGTGACCTAAAAAAAAATCTGTGACCAACTAATTTGGAAATTTATGACTGTGTGACCTGTAAATTTTGATCTGTGACCAACTAATTTTGTCTGTGACCAACGAACTAATTGTGACCTAAAAATTTTTTTAGCTGTGACCATAAAATAATCTGTGACGTATAAAAATTATTATTTGCGACTGAAAAATAATATGTGACTAATTAAATTATAAATATGTGACCGGAATGACTGCCGGAATGGTCGCCGAAGAAGAGTGGTGGTCGAAATGGTCGCCGGAATAGTCCCCAGAGCAGTATGGGTGGTGCATATGGGGTGGGTTTATTATATTATATTATATTTAAAAAAAACCTGATTTTTGAATTTTCAAACTATAAACATGATTTTTGAATTGGTGTAAACTAAACACCTCATTTATGAATTTTTCCCTTAAAAAAAATTAAACAAAAGCCTGCCAGTAAAAAATTATCAAAAGTCTGTCAAAAAAATGTTTTGTTAATAAGAGAAAAATACATGATAATCCCGATCATAGAACGTCACAATCAAAAATCACAAATTTTATAGATAACAACTTATTTATCTCTCACAAATTGACAAATTAATAGGCCTATATGCCACAATTTATTTCGCGATCATGAATTATCAAATTAATTTGTCACAACTTAACAAGTTGTTAGTCACAATTACAAATTTAGTCACTATCTCATCTTTTTTAGGTTATATATTATTTCTTGGTCTCAAATTATCTATTTTATTGATTACACATTACTTATTGGTCACAATCACTCAAATAAATTGGTCACAAATACTCTTCATCTCACCACACTTCCAGCTACAACAACTGAATGCCACGACCCCTCACATCCACCACTGCACTACCACCACCTGTATCGCTACCGCCTACACCACCACCATCTCACCACCTTCGTCACCACCATCACCGTCACCACCACCACCATTTGCAAACCCCAGCAACCACAAAACAAAAATTACCCCAAAACTTCTATAAATAACAGATTGAATGAAGAAACCACCCCAAAAACTTCATCTTCGCTGCATGCAACGGTGCTCAGCGCAACGTCATCGTGAGTGTTGTTGCTCTCAGAGTGACGACGCTCGCCGCTACAATGGCCTTCCGACAGTGGTCTTCGATGTATGATAAATACAGAGAAGAGAGGTTGGAGGTGATATAGAGAGACAAGTGACAATGTAAGAGGGAGGGAAGGAAAATGATTAGAGTCCGGGAGTGAAATTTGTTGGGATAGATAGAGTGTGGATGGGATGGAGTAGGATGAGTAAGTAGATTAATTTTATTTTATACTATTATTATTAATAATAAAATTTTGAATTATCACCTGATTTTTGAAAAAAAAAAAAAACTTTTAAACCTGATTTTTGAATTGAAAAGTTACAATGGGGAAATAATTTTCACTTTTATTTTTGCTTTATGTAGAAGAGTTTTATGAACCTTGCTCAATTGGTCAGGTCTTGGATTTGCTCTCCAATGGTTACCAGTTAGAGTCCCCCCAAGACCATTGAGGTGAGTACTCGACCGTAAACTTCAGGGCCGTGTGGGATTAGTTGAGGTACGCACAGTTGGACCGAACATCCCTGGTTATCAAAAAAAATGTAGAAAAGTTTTATGAAAAACAAGCATAATATTTATTTAAGGATTAGAGCCTCTTTGAGTCGACCTTTTGTCCAAAATGCATTTTGGAACAATATTTTGATGGAAAATATTTGATTAAAAAATAAGGAAAAGTTTTTGACTTGCGTATAATATTATTTTATTAAAAAATGTGTAATTAAAAATAAAAGAAAAAAAAGTATTTTGAAAATAATGAGGATCAAACAAAAGCTTAATTTCTAAAAGAATTTATATTTCGAAACTAATTTTAGAGGAAGCATGATACCGTTGCTATAACTTCTTGTTACGTTGTTGACTCGCTTACTCACCCGATTTCTAAGCGGTGAGTGTTTTGTTTAAGACAAGTTCACTAAATTCACTCAAGAACTTAGCTCATGTTTGATTTGGATAAAAATTATAATTTTAGTAAGTTTTGATTAAAAAAATAATAATAATGAAATAGGTAGTAAAAAATTTTATAAAGTTATGAGCCGTATGAAATGTATGATCAAAAATGAATTTGAAAAAAAAAATAGTTTAAGAAAATGGGAACTTACATTTTTATCAAAATGAATAGTGAAAATCATATCTTAAATCACCTTTTGAATTTTCTTTTTTAATGTTTGTTTGGGAGAGATTTTTTAAAAATATATATAAGTAAAATTGTGAATATTATAGAATGTATGCTTGAAAATAATTTTCAAAAATCTTTGACACATCCATAATGCATGTACTCACGAAAATGGAGATGGATTAGAATGACACGTGACCTTGTTTCCGAATTGAGTAACTATCACTGTAGCAATACTCACGTGCTCCATTTCTATAAAGAACTAGTGTGAGCACGTGCAATGCACGTGTTGTATAGTCTAATTGGGTATTTAATAGTGTGGAGTGATTTGAATGCATTTTTTTAAAAATATAAGTAGGTATTGTTTGTATAATTGTATGAATTGAATTTTTGGTCAGCTAATCTTTTTTATACACTTCTCAGGAAGACAAAACAAAGTACCTCACAAATGAAGGAAAGTTGGTGGCTAGATTTCAAGAGGAAAGGAAAGCCAAGAATTGAACTGCATCAAGAATGTCATGACTTGTTTATAAATCAAAATACTACAAGCGAAACAAGTTTGAGCATATCTAATGCCTTAAATGTAATTTAGAAGCATACGGTAGCAATTAGAAAATATTCTACTACTTTTATTCGCTCTCTGTCTCTTACGCGACTGAAAATTTAGCTATCTCCTGTTCTACAAGTTCTGCTTCAACTGGATAGTACTTGTAGTGAAATTCTCCAACGTCGTTGCTTGATAGTTTTGTCCATTCATTTGGTCGAATGTTATGAATTGCAAAAATGGAAGAAAAAATTAGGAATTTGGAAACTAAATGTAATAATGAAAAGTGGGGATTGTTAAATAAAGATGGATTAAAACCACCATGTATGCTATATATACTAAACTATAGAAAGCAATTCACATTGGGAAAACTATTGGTTTCTAAGGGTATCGCCACTAATATTCGCACAAGTGGAAAGCACATGCACAAAAAAGGTGTAAATATATAAAGACTTTATGTTACATGTCTTTGTAGGTGCGCAAGTGCAAAGCATGTGCACATGAGGAAAGGTACAAAGGAAACTAATGAGTATCACAAACCTAACTCAGTAACTAAAGGCGAGTGAGGATCTCTGCCTATCTGTTCCTTCAGTTTCTGTGTTTGAGCGAACCACCTCTCCAGAAGAATCCTAGCAGGTTCAGTTGCCCCATTGTCGCTAATACTTGAAGACCTCTTGTTATTCAAGACTGATTTGACAATTCATAAGCATCAACTTCGACCCTTTCTTTTGTGCCTCGTCAAAAATGCTAATCTCTTCTCTTTTAATTTGAGCCCAGAATAACACATCTGCAAAAAACAATTGACTGTCAGACTATTGTATAATTCTTTATCTATATTTTTCATGGTGTACACCTATAGTTTTGTCCTCGTACAAAATAGATTTGATAACCAACTTAAAACAGCTCACTAAGCATCGACGTGGATCATAAATTCCTGTAAAATATGCACAGACAAATAGAGAAAATTGAACCAGAAAACAAACAAAGCTCAATTTAGAACTTTTGATCGGCCTGCAAGATGATTAAGCAAAATATATACGTGTCGAACTCTAACAGATAGAGCAATATATGATTAACAGGAATGCAACAAAAATGATAGAGCAATATATGATTAACAGGAATGCAACAAAAATGTTCCATAAGAAAATCATAATCTGCAGAAATCTGCTTACTGAGGAGATGACATTGGGAGCTATGAACAAATAGGGACCCTTGCAGTTAGCTTCTTCAGCACCAAGAACAATCAGAGCTTGTCTGTGCTTAACATTTCAATAGGCTTATCGTTTACTAATTATTCACTACATATATTATTTGGTAAAAAGATTAATTTTCACGTGTTGGGGAGAAAATTAATGTCATGTTAACGGTACAAAATGCTATGATCCAAGAAACTACAACTGGTAAAAAAATGCATTCAATTAATTGCAAATGTAAATCTGACCGCTAATGTTTCAAAATTAATCTGCAAATATGCTGTAAATTATTGGAAATCAACAATGAACACTAAAAAAAACATTTATATATATATATATACACACACACACATATACATATATATACATATATTAACATAATACATACATACCTTTGAAATTTATCTCTTCTCTGCTCTAATTTTAGGTACACTTCTGAAAACCCATCATACAAGCCTATTTTTGCAAGAGAGAGAAAACTGAAGTTACACAATTGACATGTCGAAAAGCAAACTCTCATGTCAAAGACGTGTGGTTTTATTTGGTTATAACTGATTTTGTCTTTCTACCACAACATATTTTCCAACTTTGTAATTAGCTGAATATCATGTAATTTTATACACACCCACTTTAATATTATCTGTTGTTGAGTCTAGATTTTCCCATCCCCTTGATCTCCCACTCCTTCAAACACTAATTTTCCTATAGTTGTCAACTGCAGAAGGGGAGATCTCAATTCTACTTGCTTACTATCAATTCAACTAAACATAGATGCAAGGAGAAAAGCAAAACAATCAAACTTGTGTCTTTTGGATATTAGTGTGATTTATTTCCAGTGAAGGAAAAAATCTCAAAAAATAATAGCAGCAGCGAAGGAGAGATTCATCTGGGAGTAAATTCAACCAGAATAGCAATAGTTTTACCTCGATAGGGAAGTAAGTTGGACGCTTAGGCTTCCCGACATTGATACAGGGAAGATCGGTAGAATATGGCAAATCAATGTTACGGCTATTAATAAAGTAATCATAGACAATTACTTCAATGGTTTGAAATTCACCAGCATCATCCTTGTTTTTCTGCTCCAATGAGAACCTGAAACAGTTGATAAAAGGGTACAACTTCAGNGAACCTGAAACAGTTGATAAAAGGGTACAACTTCAGAACCATGCCAAACAATGGAAACCAGAATAGTAAAAAAAAAAAAATTAATAAGATCAAATCAAATAGAGAAACCATACAATTGCTCTTTGCAGGGCCTGTTACTTAGTCTAGTAATTTTGTACTCCTAGTTATTAGGGATTGTCGTTATTCTCAAATTCTTCAGAACACGTTTTTCCTAGTGGTTCAAATTATAATAGATTTTGTTTGCAATAAGAAAATACTCTTGATTAAAGAAGCGGTTCAATTAAACACATATGAGAGGTAGTCCATTATTTTTACACTCTTGCTTATCTCACTTGGTGCTTGTACTTACGAGAAAGGCAGAAACAATACACTCTCTTCTTCGTTTATCTAGAATTTCCTCTAATCTTAAGTTTGTCATACGTTAATTCACAGCTAAAAATAGATATGATATAGCAGATAGCACAACTCCCACAAATTCTCAATTTCCACTCCAGATTTTAAAGGTATGGAT